CAAAAATGTGTCATAGTTTAAAACACTCAGATTTACAGTGTATGGCTATTACAGTTAAATAATTGACACTTTTAATACTAACAAATAGACAGATCCATCACCAGCCAGCCAGAAACGAATGATTGAAAAGCAACGTGTAAGTGATTCTCTGTCAATATGGTGATCTTTTTGCAAATATATATTTTATGAATCGTTCAGCAACAGCATAGGTAAATTTGTGTTGATGTTATAATTATAAAACTTCCATTGTAACAGTACAAGCATCCAGTGCAATAAGCCATATAATGTCGTATCATGTCACTCATATTGCAATTTTAGTCCACGCTTCTTTGCTTCTGCTGTAATTTTCTGGTCGAAATATTCATTTTGTGCCACAGTGAAATGATTTTTTCCAGTCACCAATCTGACCCTTTCTAAAGTACTCCGCGTGTTGCGGCCACGATTCCCCACTCTGAGCAGGCGACATTTGAACGTCAGTTCCCGATGCCCTCATTTCATCCAAGCTGCACATCGCCACAACGCGATCGATTGTTTCCTCAGTGAGCGGCCGACCGAGAAAATCTGCAATCTTAACCAATACAGACTTCAGATCTTGTTTCATGTCTTCGAATGTCACGTGTATTACGTTGTCTTCCAAGCCATACTGATTCCACGCCAGGGCATACTGTAACCAGGGTCCGTACCATACCCGTCCTTCAATGAATGCTTCGACCCAATCGTCCCAGCTCAGATGCATTTCGGCAAATGTAAGCGATTTAAGAAAGTTATAAAAGGACACGCATACATCTTTGGGATTCCGAGTGATACATATTATTTTGCATTTCCTGTTCCTCTTCCTCCACTCCGTGTGGAAAAATTGAGGATGTAAGTGAGATAACATCAAACGAGGTGACGGCATCTCATGTAGGGAACATTTAGTCGCTCGCACCGTGGCCCCGTATAAACCCGGAACTGAGTCTGTCTTCTCGTAAAAATATCCCAATCGAAGAGACTTCCCCGTTGGGTTCAACTTCCAATTGAGGTCGTCGTACATCAGTGACACTGCATGTAACATCCATAGCGTGCCTGATTTGGGAAAAGTTTGGATGATGACGTCATCGTCTCGAATATCCCATCGGTCGATTCGTCTCTCTTTCACTGCATCTATGTCATGAATTTTGTCTACAAAATAACACCCATCGTGCTCAAATACAGGCCACTTGGTATGCGCCATTTTGATCTACGTCACTGTTAAATAGGTACCGAGTCATTCCTCAGCTCCTGAGAGCGAGGTTATTTGTAGATGCTGGCCATCGCCTCTGTGTTTCCGGAAGTACTATGGGGGATTGCATGATGGGAGTGGAAAGTCTTTTGATCAGTAAAATAAAGGAAACTGAAGTGGTATGAAAGGGCGGTAATTGTAACCAGAATGCAAGGTCAGAATCGAGGGTCAAAATACGTCACAATACATCCATCAAGGCGGTTGCAAAGTGTCAGCAACTATGGATGAGATAAAAGACTTCGTTTGCAGTTTGCGTGAATGGCCGGAGAGAAAAAAATCATGCAAATTCTGTGCTTCAGTAACAGTATTTGCTACTTTTTGTGCAATGGAAATTAATACAAGAAATGCTGCCAAAAGACATGTCCTTCTAGTAAAAAAAACAACAACCTTGGGACGTTTATCTTGAGAAATTGAGAATACGAAAATCCCTTGGGACATTCGTTGTGAAACAATAGACATGTTTCCT